AAAAAAAAAAAAAAAAAAAGAGAACTCTCTTTATTGAGTCCCAAATTCTTCTGGTGGCGCGATATATTGCGCCATTTTCCTTGGACGATACAAACGTGGCTTCGAAATTACCGCCAATGGACGAAATCCGAAAGCGACCAATCTGAACGTCGTCGTGGAGAGAGAAACGAAATTTAAATTTCTTAATTTCTGTATTTTACTTTCTTTTTAATTTTTCATAAATACTGCACTTCTTTTTGTAAATCGAATTTTCAATGAGATTGTTTTTTGGGAAATATTTATTATATTCGCGAAGTGGTTACGGTGGATGCAGTAATAGGTTATTATTTTTGTAATTTTTCTTATTTAATTATTGAGTTTGATACATATAATATGATACGTAATTAACTTTCTATAGTATTTGAATAAGCTATTGATTGTAATATTGAAATCGATAAATTGATCTGTAACATATTTCATACGTCGATTAATTTTCTATTCAAACTGGATAAAATTACATTGAATAATTTTTCTTTTAATTAACTAGGATTTAAATTGAATTTCGTTAATAAAAAATAACGATTTAATTAGTGAAAATGTTCCATCAAATGGAAATACAATAGCAATCGTTTAAAGTTTAATTTTTATTGATAACATAAATTATCATGATAATTATATTGAAATAAAATAATAATTTAAAATCAAGGTATTAATAAATTGAAAATGTTCATTAATTATTATATTAAAAGTAAAATACATCAAACTTAAACAATAAAATGAACAATAATAATAGTTACTAATATACAATCGTTCAAAATTCAATTTTTGCAACAAAAATATAAATACAAAATTACAATAATAATTATATCAATATAATTATTAAAACCAATCCATGAAGATATTATTATTCTTAGAAAAAAATTCAAATCCCCAGAAATATAATTTTTATCCCCATTAACAAATTACTTTAAAACAAAGCATATCATTGAACAAATTTTATATTTAAAATCCTAAAATACCCTTAAAAATTAAAAACCTTATATTTTATTGATAATTATTACACATAAGTAATCACTTCGCGAAAAAGATTCGACGATCCTAATCTAACAACGTACGTCATTACGACGAAACAAAAAAATATCTGATATTGTCATTGTCGCATTCCTCCGCCAGACATAGTAATTCATAATACGTCGTGAAACAAACGATACAATTCCTTCAATTTATTGCGAGTAGCATGGCTCGATGATTTTCTCTCCACGATGGCGTTAATGAAAAAACGCGCTTGGGGTCCGTTGGCGGCATTGACGAATCCCACGATTGCCACGATATCCCACGATTCCACGAGAAAAGAAAGGAGGTCCTCTCGATCCTACGCCCATGAGCTGCCTCCCGAGGCTTCTTTGTCCGACACAAGAACTCAGTGCAACACAATAGCAACGCTCCATAGATAGCCGTTCATTCTCACGCTTCGTAGCTTCAGCTCGGTTCTTTATATATAATATAGGTATATTACATATATACGATACGATATTATATATATATATTATATTATTTACGTGTATACAATACGTGTAAACACGCACATGTACCAACATATGTGAAATATCGAAAAGTGTGGGGTGAAGAGAAAAGGGGTGGTGGAAGAAAGGGTGATGATATACGATGGATAGAGATGTGAGATGTCCTCTCTCGCCGTTTTTACTAAGTTTTTCTTCTTCTTTTTTCGCATAGAGGAAAGGGGAAGGGATGTTTCGTTGCCTATAAGTTGATTCTAAGTTGGAAGTTGGTGAAAGTATGCTGTGGTGTATATTATTGTATAAATTTTGTTAACTATAAAATTTTAGATCTGTATTTTGTTTATATATATTGAGTATGTTGATTGATTGATCTTTAAATGATTGAATTAATTTTATTAGTGAAAATTACAAGAAACTAAAAAAATATATAATAATAATTATAGGACATTTATTTAACGTGAAATTATAAAATTGTAGAAGAGAAATGTACATGACTTGTACATTTACTTATATAATTATTGTACAAGAGAATGTTATTATCGTTAGAAAATGTTGATAATAATTTATTTTCTTTTATTTTGAAGTATTTCGTTTTATCCTATATTCTAATTTTATATAATAAAAACTGTTTAGAATAATAAAATCTAATACATGGGATATACAATATATGAAAACAGAAATTAAATATTTTAAAATTGAGGAAATTGATATAAATTTAATTAATAAATGTTCCAAAATTAATAGAATGCAAAAGCAGTAGGATATATGATAGGAATAAATAAATTTCGATTAATGTAGGAGAATCGTTTGTTGTTATTATCAACAATTAACTAAAATTTAATATAATGATATAATTAACGAGGCAGAAAAGTTATATAAAAAATATATTGAATATAATAGTGACTTTAAAGTACATTTATAATGAATATTGTTTAATAAACATATATTTAGAAATATATTAGATTTAGATTTTTCTTAAAATCATTACAATAATTATTAAATATTTTTAATAATTCTTCAATCACTACAAAATAATGCATCATTTTTATTTTAAATATTTTTAAATAAATCGATAAGCTAAAACAAACTAAGAGAAACAATAAATCGTCACTAAAATATAAACTAGGAATGTAGATCAAGAATATTCTACTAAATCAAAGATAATATGATATTTTTTTAAGCCTATTTTCCACAAACTTTCACATTTTTTAAACAACTCAAATTTTTCTATCACTGAAAAATATTACTACGAAATAATATCTCATATATTGTTGATAAAAATATATGGATGATAATACACGTTTCAAAAATAAGAAATAAGATATAGATTCGAAACGTATGATAGTTTAAAAATTTTAATTTTACCGACTATTTATTTTCTACCAAGCCACAATGAAACACCGATTAACTAGACAGCTCAGCTCGATAAATCTGTAACAATACCAGTTATCGATTATCTGGGAAGGCTTTTAAATGAATGAACAGGCAAATAAAGTATTAAACGCAATGAATTTTAGTCTGAAGCAAGAAAGAAGGAAATACAAAGTATCTTTTACTAAAAGTTTCCATTAATATGATCGATTATGAAATCTTTTATGGACAATTTTATGATACAATATCATATACAATATAATATATAATCATATAAGTTTTCATACATGTTTTATATGAAATATTGTGAATATGAAGATCATAAAAGATTATACTTGGATTTTTTTATTAATGGAATATCACTTGTAGAAAGTGAAAAGTTTCTAAAAATTATTATTTTCGGTTTATTTTTTAAAATATAACTTCGTAATGAACAAAATTTTAAATTATAAATTATAAAATATTCAAATTTTAATTCTTCATTATATAGAAATTATATATCGTCAATATTAACTGTTAGAATATTTAAAAAATATTCTTTTTTCTTTTTTCGTACATGGCTTTCGTAAATATTTATTACAAGAGAAATATTGCAACAATTTTATTTTAAAATATCATGAATCTTTGTATAATGCATTAGATAAATTTAAGATTTTTCTTTTTGGAAAGGTAATATTTATCTTTTATTTTTGAATGCACGGAGAAGCTAATACTGTAAATATTCGTATAGCATGGATTCGTTTAACAGAAATTTGTAGGACATGGTGAAAATATCGTGGTAAAGTTGCTAGGTATAATATAATAGAAAAGGACTCGTATAACGTAATATATATAATGTTTAAGGGTTTAAGTTTGCATTTTTACAATATGGCAAGATATAATACTATCATAAAAAATCATCAGTGTATAGTACAATGAAAAAAGAAAAAAAAAAAAGAATTAAAGGAGATAAAAATATTGGTTATAATATTTTCAAATATATATATATTATCTTATATGAAGAAAAATTAAAGAAACATTTTTAAAATACAAATAAATAATACAAAAACTAACTATTTTTCAATTTTTATATTATGTATAAAATTAAATTTAATAACAAATCAGGAAATTCTTATACAAATATAATTCCTATAATATTATTTTAATTTTTGATTCCATTGTTATATTTGTCATCAATCATAAAGTTTAATTCTTTCAAACTTACTCTATTTTTAATTTTAAATTTTACAAATATTATTTTTAAATATATTTACAAAGACTTCAAAACTCTACCAATATTCGAATCTAAATATATTTAACCCATCATTTTTATTGCAAAACCCACAAAATCGATACTCATCGCGTCTCTGTAATATGTCGCTGATAGGTTTACACGCAAGTAACGATCGTTCCTAGTTGCTAGAATAATTAAATTCGTTACGTACACCGCATGAAACAGCCGCGTGTATTATTTAATGTCGAAATTTGTTGTCACGCTCGGTCGAACACAAATCGAACAAGAGGGAGAGGACACGCTGATTCTCGCGGTTTCATTAATAGTATTTCACTCTCAGGATCGAAAATGCGACCGACAATGCGAATAATCGCCACAAATAATGCTCTAGATTTTTAATGTGACGTGATATCACACTCTCATTTAAAAGTAAAATAAAAAAGAAAAAAAATTAATTGAGAAAAGAGTAACGATTGCTGCGCCATCTAGAGATGCGTGTATTAAGCTACGTTCTCATGAAACG